TCAATACGACCATTTGAAGAATGCTTTGATAGGTTGTCAATGAATAACACGAGGCGTAGAAGTAGATTTAACTGAACGAGAGATTAAGTAAGGGGGCTAGGTCTACTATAAATAGAACATGTATATATACATTGAGCAATCAATATACGTGTAGGCGAGTCGGTCTGACTAGAATAGGAAATACCCTTTTCCCAAATAGCTACTGATTTAGTAGATTTAAGTCTTAGTTATATTAAAGGAATAAACAAAATGTTTATAAACAAAATAAACAATATTTCGCTGGACATTTCTGAGAAAAGGTTATATTATGAAGAGGCATGACGTATTAGATGAAGTAACAACAACTTCTATAAAAAAATAAAACAAAATATTGAGTTGGGAATTCATTTTGTGTTATATTTAATATGTTTTATGATGTAAAACTAAACAAAAAATCTGTATTGATATCTCTAACAAATGCCCACGATTTGCTATTGTTAAAATAAATATTACTCACGTGGGATTGCTATAATTCCATGACAGAATTTAGTTTTGGAATTATTGATAGTTTGTTACATAAAAGTCTAAAAGTAAAGTTCCGAATTCATTTTTCTTAAAACACTAACATGTTTCTGTTCTTAAAATACATATTGCTCACTGGAAGATGGTTTATTTTGTCATGATTTTGGGAAAAATATTTACGTAATCAATGACCGAAGTTTCCAGAAATGAAGATTTCTCAAAATGGAAAGTACCCCGAATATCATATAAATATAAAGATATTCAAGAGCTAGAGTTATTGTACGGAATAAATATTAGCGGTTAAAACGGTTAAAACGATAGACAAAATACAGCATGGGAAATGATCCTTATCCTAGAGTAAGTATATTATTTCATAAGTAGTAAGTATTTTTCACACAATACAGCTCAATAATTTATAAAGATATTAAGGTATCATAGGCTTAATCTGGTTTGTTGTAAATGTATGATGTTCTACATGTATTCTGGACATGAATAAACATCGAGACTATACTTACCTTTCTATTTCAAAATTATTTAGAATATGTTTTTGAAAAAGATAAAATATTGAATCAATTAACCTGCTTTTCTTATGCAGCTGATCTACATTTCAATGTTTAGCCCCTTACAATATGTCCAGGTAGACATTTTCATCGGTAATACAAGATATTTTCTTTATAAAATTATCGTCATTAGCATTTTTCAGGCAATACATATTTTATCGCGGCTTTTATAATTTACACTAAAATATGCTGGCTTTTTTTTTTGATTATTTAACATTTTAAGAAAAGAAAATCAAAATGTCAATGGTAGATAATCCATCGGCTTCGATACAATTGGGTTGAAAAGAGGCTCATCTAATGGGTTGATCGAAGATTATAGGTGACGCCGGCTTGTGTTGATTGTATGATGAGGATGATGAACGTTGACTAAATTTCAGTTAATCGTATCTTTGTAAATACTGAAAGGAACGGAACTAATATTGGACTCAAAGTTCTTTTAGAGATTCAACTTCCACAATATTGTAGTTTGCAAGGGATTAAAAAAACAGCAAATGATATATAAAATATTTTATTTTACAGTATGATGATGACGACTGGTGTTGTGGGTTGAATTGTTTTCCAGCAGATGCCAAGGTAGAAACAAAGACACAAACCAAATACGTAAAAGACTTGGAAGTCGGGGACCAAGTAAAAGTTATTTTAGAAGATGGAACCATTGACTTCTCAGAGGTATGGGTAATAGCCCATGACGATCCCAGTTCAACTGCTACGTATTTAATATTATCTACAAGCACACATACATTACCTATCAGTCATCACCATTTCGTTCCCGTTACTAATGAAAAAAAATCTACATGTAACTTTGAATATAAGATGGCAGCAGAGATAAAGGTGTGTAATTATATTATTTCTATACGAATGACGTGTTATTTTATTGTTCTGGCCCTGAACCCGCAGGGAGAGGGAGGTGGGGTGAGATACCTTGTTCATGGTTTGAATTTTGAAGAGTGATATTTTCTTTATTTTTTTTTTTGAATGTTAATTTATTATTTTGATTTTAGGTAGGAGACTACCTTTGGACAACAATTGGTGGAGAGAACCAACCAACTACAGAGATGGTTATTAATATAGAGAAAGTAGAAAAAAAGGGAGTGTTTGCACCTTTCACTAAAAATGGCTGCATCCTTGTAAACGGTGTCCAAGCCTCAGTTTATGCAGAGGTGAAACCAGCCTTGGCTCACCCTGCTCTAGCTGGCCTTAGAGAAAAATATGACGTCACACCAAAAGCCGAAATGAAGGCATTTCTTGAACCAAACGAAAACGGCGTGCCTAAGGTTTTTGATGAGGCTTTCAAAATGTTGCGGCAGTTAATTCCGCCATATTAAGCACAATACGCTTTAGAGGTTTTCCATTGTTTAAAAATTAAATTTTCCGAAAGCTAGATCATCTTTGCAAAAATTATATCTGTAATTTAAATTATGTCTATTATTATTCGCTGTTAGTTTTAAATAACACAGAAATATATATGGTTAGATGAAAAATAGAACTGTATTGAACTTTTCATACTCAATTTTCTTTTACCTTAATTCTAAAACAATAGACAACATATTCTCAATCTGATTAAACTACAGTTCTAAATTTCGTTTTTTAATTTCCATTTTGATCTGACTGGTTTGCAATAGAGGTCACGTTAGGGGTCACTTGGGTGAACTTTGACTAAATGACTGTTTATATCTTGACATAGATGTTTCGCATAATTTAGTGCATCAAAACAGACCAATTCAGTGAATACGTAAATACACAATACGCCACTTGGTTAATCCGGCGCTGAAAGTGTTATCCAAAATCGCACGGGAGGTTATTTCTGATTAAGATTAAAGACAGAATTGAACATCCACTTTCTTCAAATTAGTTGCTTTTAGTTGACCTTAGTTGTTAAACGTGTTACTTATAAATAAAATATCTTAACTTTCGACTTTAGTTACTTTTTGTTACTTCGAAATCTCTCCTCACTGATCGGGGTTAATTAACTATAATCACTCCCTTGAGTCCATCTATTGTTCATTACAATAGGGTGATGGTTGTGGAGTGGGGGTGCTGGGTTGTTGCGGCGGCCGTGTGGACTAATGCAAGGTGTGTCGTTGAGGCCAGTGACATGGCTGTGGTTTCACGCTTGTACGTGACAAAGAGTAGGGTCGGTTGCCTAACCACGTGGGTTTTCTCCGAGTCCTCTAGTGCAATGGAATAGTAATACCGAAATGACCTAGCAAGGACAAAATCGGGATTCGTAAACAACCGACAGGAGACAGTCAAGATTACACATTGGAGAAAATTTTAGTTTCCAATATCCAAAGTGAATATAGATTTCAAGTTACGTCTTTTTTATAAGTGCTTTAGTAATTAATACATAAATTTTAATAGACATTTCATTATCATTAAACTTGACCGGGTGTTCGATCCCTGCATTGGCCGAGAAAGTTCCCCCTTGTCAGTGATGCAGGACGGAGGGCGTGACAAGGACAGCTGTCTAGTCATTCGGATGAGGCGAAATACCGAGGTCCCGTGTACACATTGGCGTGCACGTAAAAAATCCCTTGACAGTTGGAAATGAAATGAAATGGGGTTTAACGTCCTACTCTTCTGCACCTAACCTGGGCTAATTGAAGACGGGCATACGCCATACAGTGTGCTATGAGGGAAATTTTGCCCGGGCAGCGGCGCTACGGCCTACTCTTATATCGAATTCCAACTGCCAAGGGATCTTTTACGTGCACGCCAATGTGTACACGGGACCTCGGTTTTTCGTCCCATCCGAACGACTAGGCAGCTGTCCTTGTCAGGCCCTCCATTCTGCATCACTGACAAGGGGAAACCACGCCGGAAAATCGAGATGAACTTTCTCGGCCAATGCAGGGATCGAACACCCGATTGACAGTTGGAATTCGATGTAAGAGTAGGCCGTAGTGCCGCTGTCCGGACAAAATTTCCCTCATAGCACACTGTATGGCGTATACCCATTAGCCCAGTTTGGAGCAAAACAGTTGGACGATAAACTCCATTTTATTTCATTTCATTTTTTAAATTTGATCGGATTAGGGATTGTCCTCGCTGTGTAGTGTTCTAAAAATAGAACTTACATATCTACAGTTGTCTGGGAAATACCCTATTTCACGAATAACTAAATTCTACTACTGATACAGAAGAATATTACTCTGCATATTAAAACATAAATATATGAATAAAAAGACCCAACGAAAACGATCAATAATTATTTGGGAATTCCTGCAAGAGGTTACGTAATATCATTGCTAGAAAGTTCAACGGCCCACGAGCAAATAGCAATATGGTATCTCCCTTTATTTATTATATTATAAATTTACAAAGTGTTGTAACTTAAAAAGAGTAATTAGCAATACAATAAAATGGTTAATATACAATATATGAATATTACATATTCATGAAGGAAATGCCAAGAAATATAGGCTCGCCTATATCAAACCACTTGGGTTTTCTCTGGGTCATCCGGTTTATCCCGTACTAAAAAAAACCCTAGGCGCAAATGAATTGCTGAAATGAAATTGCACCATATGTTACTCCCGAAATGACCTAGTTTGTTTCGAGTCCAAGTTCTCCCACTCTATCTATCTCTCTCTGTTACAAACATACTTGACTAGCTGTATTACAGAAATTGCATTGTGTATATAAATAGAACAAACGTAATCGATATTATAATATATGAAGGCGGGTCTGTCTGGATATTACCATTGAAAATCCCATGTTTGTACATGATACAGTGATTTTGCTGGGTATTCCTGCAAGAACTTATTTGTAATATTTCTGAAAAAACCTTTTTTACAGGTGTATTGTTCATTTTTTTTTTTACAATTTGTAATAATAAAGGTATTCGTCATGTGTTTTTTTTAAAGCTCACGACATCTATAGTTAGCGGGTATTTCAGCGAGTTTTGTTTTGGAAATCCAAAACTTACTACATCCATCAAAGACATTTCGAGAACATTCTCTTAATTGGGAATTCCTCCAAAAATCATATAAATATAAGGATTGCTTTCAGAAAGCTCAGTTGCTTTAAGTTAAATTCTTCGACAACAACACATTATAAAAACTACAACATGGGTTACGATCCTTATAAAAAAGTAAGTGTGCTATCATTAATAATGAATTTGATATGAATGACTATTTTGTAATGTTTGCCTAAAATACCATGTTTAAATTTACTATTGTTAGGGTAGTCATATTTCTAATGTCTTTCTTATGTCGTGATATATTATATTGTGTGTTTTTCTTCTCTTTTTTCCTTTTATTTATAAAACGTATTTTTCTTCAAAGCGAGGTAAATCCTGAACGCTGATTACGGATCGACGCTAGACGTAATACATGCTTATTATAAAACTGAATGATTGTTTTTATTTTAGTGTAAATGTGATTGATTGCAAATACATTTTTTGTACTTGGATAAGCTGTAAAATCTTTTATTCTATAATCAAACCTGTTTGACTAAATACAAGTTTTTTTAAAATACATTTTTTTTACAGGAGGTCCCGGCTAACTCGGGATGTTTTCCGGGAGATGTCCAAGTTGAAACGAAACTTGACGGAAAGAAATGTATACGTAATTTACAAGTCGGAGAGGAGGTTAAGGTTATGTTCGAGGATGGGAATATCGGATTTTCTGAAGTATGGACAATGGCCCATAAAGACACAGAGTCCACGGCCTGTTATCTACATATTCAAACCGAAACAAAGAAACTGACCATTAGCCATCTTCATTTCATACCTGTTACAGATCAAAATAATTCCACGGTTGTTTATAAAATGGCTAAAGACGTAGAGGTATGTAGTGATTTTTATAAACAAATTTTATGTTCATATATTTTGTCTCTTTTAAAAAGAAAATAAATTTATATAATATAGCGAGCACAAGCAGTGTAGATCCCATTTTAAACTTGCATGACTCTTGAATTGAATATTTAAACGTCTCTATAACAGCAATTGTGGGCATATTTGTCTCTGATTTTGCACACAGTAAAATAATCGATAATATTCTAGGTAGTCAAATGAGAGAGAGAGAGAGAGAGAGAGAGCGAGAGAGAGAGAGAGAGAGAGAGAGGTTTAACGTCCACTCGACACAATTTTAATTGGTTCAATTTTATTTTAATACTTCACTTGCGTGTAGGGATCTTTAGCAGTGGGAGGAAACCGAAGGACCCGGAGAAAACCCACGATATTGGACAGGCGACCCTACTCCTTGTCACGTACAACCGGGGAATCGAAAGTTAAATTAGTACTTTATTGTCGCGGACAAACTGGCAATTTCCACCGTAGGTCTATTTCTGTATTTGTTATTCTCGCACACTGAACTATGGGATCCTGAGTAAATTAATTAATATTTTTTATTTTAGGTAGGAGACCACCTTATTACGGTTAATAAAGAAAGTAGAACGACCGAAACCGTAATGAAGATCGAAGAGGTGGAGTCAACGGGAATATTCGCCCCGTTCACTATTAATGGGTTTATACTCGTTAACGGTGTTCACACATCAGTGTATGCGGAAGTGGATCCAGATTTAGCGCATTCTGCCCTGGCACCTTTCCGAGAAAAATACTACATCACACCAAATGATGAAATGGAAGACTTCCTCAAACCAAACGAAAATGGCGTACCAGCGATCTTTGCAGAGGCTTTTATAATGTTGAAGCAGTTAGTACCCTCGTATTAAAAATTTTTCATTCTGCCAATAAAATATATTTTTTTTAAAATCAAAATTTGTTATATTTCATCCGACAGTTAAGTCCCCTGTTGTCTTAGTGACCGAAACATTGTAATGCTCTAAAGGTCAGATAAACTACTGTTAAATTAAATGTTGTCGTCCTAGTCCCGGGATGGATATTTTGCCGCTCTGGTAAAGAAATGAAATGAAATGAAATGGGGTTTAACGTCCTACTGTTCTGCTCCTATACTGGGCTAATGAAGACGGCATACGCCATACAGTGTGCTATGAGGGCAATTTTGATTTTGTCCGGGCAGCGGCACTATCGCCTACTCTTATATCGAATTCCAACTGCCAAGGGATCTTTTACGTGCATTCCAATGTATACACGAGACCTCGGTTTTTCGTATCATCCGAAGGACTAGACAGCTGTCCTTGTCAGGCCCTCTGTTCTGCACCACTGACAAGGGGGAAACCACGTCGGAAAATCCAGATGAACTTTCTCGGCCAATGCAGGGATCGAACACCCGACCTCCTAGCGAGCCAGCGTCTTAACCACCTAGCCACCGTGGCTCCCCCTCTGGTAAAGAGAAATGAAATGAAATGAAATGGGGTTCAACGTCCTACTGTTCTGCTCCTAAACTGGGCTAATGAAGACGGGCATACACCATACAGTGTGCTATGAGGGAAATTTTACCCGGGCAGCGGCGCTACGGCCTACTCTTATATCGAATTCCAACTGCCAAGGGATCTTTTACGTGCACGCCAATGTGTACACGGGACCTCGGTTTTTCGTCCCATCCGAACGACTATAGACAGCTGTCCGTGTCAGGCCCTCCGTCCTGCATCACTGACAAGGGGTCTGGTAAAGAGAAAGGGGGTGGGGTCGGGTTGGAAGGTCAATAGGGCGGTAGGGTGTGTGTGTATGTGTGAAAAATCCGGTGGGTTGGGGATAAGCCAAGCTTAAAGAATTATACAATTGGTGGGATTATCGGTGCTTGGGTATAGCGATAAATTAGGATCTTATCGCAAACTACATATTATGATCATTAAAAGCTTGTAGTTCCACTAGAATGTTCCGTATAATTCCAAACGTTGATGATAATGTTTAAAGGGGGTTTAAACCTAGGGAATACAAGTATCCGTGCTGTGTATCCGCCAATCCATGCTATGTATCCGCCAAGTCAGATTCGGGTGGCCTAATTCTACTAAGACGATGATCATTGTGGTTTGTATGGAAAGGCCCAAAGAACATTTCCCGGCTTATATAACCATTTAAAACACCCAAAGCAATGCCAAAAATGTTTATGTATACTGGAACATTCGACAAAATGAAATAATTACGTCAGCTAGTATTTCATATATAATTTCCGTGGTTGGTTCTGGACAGAGTTTCCTCGCTACTCTTCTTTGAATTCCAACTACAATGTGTTCACGCCACTGTGTACATCGTTGGGTCGTACTATCCGAACAACTAGACAGTCATTCCTTGTCATCTCCACAGACACCACCAATGACTAGTGAGAAGCGGTTTGAAAAGAGCCAACGGTTCTTCACGGTTAACACCAGAATTCGAACCCGGGACATTCAGGCTGAGAGGCTAGAGTCTCTGTAGGTGACCAGTAGGTGGCGGCGTCTGGTAATTACGATATTCAAAAAAAGATTAACGCTAACACATTCAATGGACCATAAACAAGTTTGTAAAATGATTTCGTTGGGTTTTTTTTTGCTAGACTGGTAGAATTTCTAAATAATATTATATCTGAAATATTACAATTATTTACGAGTGATTGGTTAAGTCGGATCTTCGTTCAACTCGGATAAAATCGTTTGGACCCTTTGATCCTGCACATTTTTATTATTAAATTTCTTCGCGTAAGTCGGATTCCCAAGTCGGATCTTCGCTGAACTCGAATTAAAATTCGATTGTAATTAGGCTAGGTAAAGCAATAATTGACTGAAGTTTCTCAGCTTTTCAACGATTTTCCCCACCCCAGCTTACCTAAATTTCGTTTCGTCTTATATGGCCGAGCCACGTAAATCCGTACGCCACCCCACATCTAGTCCTCAATGGCGTCCGCCAAAGTCGTTAAGCAGAACAGGACGCATAACAGCATGTTGTGTTGCACATACTGACTCTCAGTGCCGGACTGATGGGCCGAAGGCAATCCTGTCAGGTCATTGAACAAGGCCCACACAAGTACGCGCCGTAGTCGCGTCACGCCACCCCACATCTAGACCTCAATGGCGTCCGCCAAAGTCGTTTAGCAGAACAGGACGCATAACAGCATGTTGTGTTGCACATACTGACTCTCAGTGCCGGACTGGTGGGCCGAAGGCACACCTGTCAGGTCACTGACCAAGGCCCACACAAGTACGCGCCGTAGTCACGTCACGACCGCGGCGAAGGCGCGCGGGCGTCTGAGAGGGGTCTGGGGGGGGGATGTCTCTCGCCAGGAAAATTTTGAAAATTGACATCCGCAAACCCATTTTTCAAACATTTCTGACCAAAGCACTCTTGTAGTACATTTCTTTTTTTGTGTAGTTTGTCAGTCATTTTTTTTCCTATCTTTTCTTTCTCCTGTCCTGTGTCCTGTCCTCCACTTCCTTTTCTTTCCCCCCCCTCTCCTTTCTTTCTCTTTTCTTTTTTCTTTTTTCTTTCTCTTTTTTCTTTTTTCTTTATGGGCTTAGGCCCACTTTTTTTTAATGAGCTTAGGCCCACCTGTCACAGACAGGTGGACAGGTGGGCCCAGTCCGGCACTGCTGACTCTAGCGAGGTAAGCAAGGTCTTCTGTTCTCACTTTAATGTTCTTTTACATTCCATTGTCTATAGGATGAAATTCTATAGTATTCTGGGGGGTTGGATGGCTGAATGGTTAGCGTGCGCGCGCTGTATCATAAAGTCTGTCATTGAGTCGACTGGCGTGGTTTCGAATCCCCGGTTGTACGTGACAAGGAGTAGGGTCGCCTGTCCAACCTCGTGGGTTTTCTCCGGGTCCTCCGGTTTCCTCCCACTGCTAAAGACCCCTACGCGCAAGCGAATTGTTGAAATAAAGTTAAACCATATGTTAGTCCCGAAATGACCTAGTTTGTGTCGAGTGGACGTTAAACCCCATTTCTCTCTCTCTCTCTCTCTATAGTATTCTACAGAATTTTGGGGGCCTGTAGGAAATAATGGCCCCAAATATTCTGTAGTGCAAATCCATAATTTTTCCTACAGATTTATGCTAAAATTTATAAAAGAAAAATAAAGTATTCTATAGTGTTTTATGATGTAAATTCTATAGTTATCTTTTTGTCTTTAATCAAGTTTTGTGAACAGACTGCACAGTTGTCCCACTGTATCCATTTTCTTGTTAATACTAACTTCTATGGAGTTGTTATACATGTACATTCAATTTAAAAATTTAAAATTCAGTCAATGAACAAACAGTTTTCTCTTGGATCAACTTTAATCAATCCGTTAGCTAACGGATAATGAAATTGACTTTCCAGCAACAGAAATTTAACGGACCGTTAACAAACCACACGTTAGCAAGATAACGATCAGTTAGAGTTTGACGGGTCGTTAAAATAACTTAGTTTTGAGCAACCGGCCCAGGTGGTTAACTGCTTGATTCTTATTAAAACTGGGGCCTGTTTCACGAAGTTTTAACTACAATAAAATACAAATTTTAGTAATTTGTTTGGATAATATTAGATTGATTTTAGTGCTTAGCCAATCAAAATTGAAGTATCTAATAAAATTTGGATTTTATCTTCAGTTAAAATTTCGTGAAACAGGGCCCAGGTTCTTAAAAGAAACCTTAACAGTAGAAATTCGAATAAAAGTAGGCGGATACATGTCAGTCTCCAAATAATAAAAAAAATATTCTGTTAAAAGGCACAAACCCCGATTCCATTCCATAAAAAGAAAGGGTATAGGACCCATTACCGATTTCGATATAGACACGTCTACACCAATTCTTTAAATTACCGAATAGACTTTACAGGGAAATTCATTTTTATATATTTTCTCAAAATGTTATCTATTTTAAATAAATGAAAATAAATTTGACCAACAAATATAATAGGTCCCATTATACAATTATTTCATATTGCCCATCTTTTAACGTTATCAAAATAACGAACGTGCGCAAGTGTATAGTGATGTGACGTCACAATAGATATTCAGTGTGTCGCCTTGATAAGGTCAACAGCGCCATCAACTTGTGGATTTTTATTTTAATAAAAATAATAGATCTACCCCAACCCAGCAACGTGAGTATTTATTTTAATAATTTAGTATCTAATCATATGTAAAGCTGTAAGACCGCGGAAAGCTAATTAAATTAGGTCTGTTACTGTAAGATATTGACTCATATTATTATTAGTAGTAGGCCTATTACTGAATAATGGTACATTCAACAATAATTCCTGTCGTGTAAATATTTGCTTGTGTTTTTGTATAGGTCATTTTAAAATAAATTCATCAGCATATTATTCTTTTTTTAATCTTTTTTTTAAATATATTAAAGAACCGTAAGTGAAACTGATGTTTGATCGTATGCCGTATGGTAGAGCTTTTTAATAACCATGTCCGCATGTCGTATTAGCTTGATAACGTTGAGAGAATACTCTTCGAAACGTCGCCCAAATAAATAAGTAGCTGATTTTCCATAAGTATGTGTTTTTGTGTATTGCATGTGTTTCATGTTGAATGTTGATATTTTCTTTCGCGTTTTGAATTGGCCTATTTCTAATAAATTCATCAGCTACTTTTTTTTATATGAAATATACAATCATAGTACATAAAGAAATAAGACACCCTTTTCCTAAACATTGAACAATGGAAATATTTTACTCACATGTTATTTTTATAAAATCGCCATTGGCTGATTATAAATTGATTTGACAGTAGTGTTCAACCTTTCGAGTCCGAAATGTCACCTGCTTGAGACCGAAACATCAAGGCCATAGTTCGAAATGTAGCGGGACCGAAATATCATGTAATCTATGCAACTGGGGTGATATGTCCATGTGTCATTTCGCCGTGTAAATTTCTAGTTGAAAACG